ATGAATATGATAGAATGAAACTAGAGAAGTACGGTCTCAAAATTTGGGAAATATAATAGCTACACCTCATTGTTCCCCATTACCTTTGATATTCATTATGGGGGAGTCGGAGTCCAGAGAGAAAGAATGAGGGGAACATGGGAAGAATGATTATAAATGAAAAAAATTGGAACCAAAAAAGGTTTGGCCAGGTTGGTTGTCCAGATTGGAGCCAAAACAGTAAATTCTAGTGCTTGACTGCAATGTGGGCTGGTGAATGCCTCACTCAACAGCTGTTTGAAGCCATCTGGAAACCAATCTTTCCAAAATTTTCATTTATAATCATTCTTCTCATTTCCCAATCTTGCTTTCTCTCAGCACTCCCACTCCCCCAAAATGAATATCAAAGCTTTTGAGAAAAACAAATTTTATTTTTTATTTTTCACAAATTTTCAAACTTTGTTTTTTGTTTTTATTTTTTCATATTCATTTTTTGGGACCTATTCTGCACCAATTGACCAAGCCCCATGACTTTAATCTGGTGCTTTGAAGCTCTGGGATCCAAAACAAGCAGCCAAAAATAACAGTCCACCCACTGTACATAGTACTTGTTTCTTTTTCAGGCTGGTTTGCACTGGTGCATTTCTCAATCAGATTTTTGTACATTTTTTGTTGTTGTTGTAAATGACCAATCATATGTTTCAGTGTGTTATTTACAATGCATAGCATTTCACCATTTGATTCACTGTCTGCACATTGGTGTGTGATTATTGTGCGATGAGTATCCTTGAGCTAGCTGGTGGATGTGCATAAGACAATTTTTTATGCCAAAAAATGGTGCAATGCCGTCTTGGTGACGGCTCAGAGACACCACATTACAAAATCCTGCAGATGTAAAATCTTTGAGGAGACAGCCCTGAAACACCTCCAGGACAGCAGTGGGATGCATTGGGGGGACATCACATGGATGTTCCACAAAGACGTCCCATGGATGGCCTTTTATTTGTGGAGGAGCACGTGCCTGGGATGCTCTGATCTGTGGGGGATGCTGTCCTGGTGCCATCTCCTGGGACCCTGCCACTGAGACGTCCAACTGCACTGGTGGTGTAAAGTTATGGTAAAAATAATTTTGCATCAAAATGCAGACTACATCTTGAAAACTGCATTTGACACCATTTTTTTTATTTAATTCTTCTCTTTTTTGCTTAATTGTTTGCATACATGTGTGTGCCTTATTTTTTATGTTTTTTTGAAATTTTAAATTTGTTTCCTAGGTTATAATACGTGTATAATTTTATGGAACAACCCAATTTCCATAAAAATCAACGGGTCACGTTTAATACTGACATTAGACACTTTTTTCAATTAATTCTTTACATGTTATTTCTCAATAGTTTTTGACATTTTAAATTTATTTCCCAGACTTTAAGACAGGTTTAAAATGATGGTAACATTAATTTTGCATAAAAACCAAAAATTGCTCTTGAATGTTGCATTTGACGTGTTTTTTTAATTAATTCTTGCACACTTAATTATCCTTATTTTATGGAATTTTAAGTTCATTTCCTACATTTTGAAAGGTTTTAAAACTGATGGCTGCATCCATTTTTCATTCAAATACAATTTGTATACGGTACAAATTATGCAAGAAACGGGGTACACTCATATATCAAGATAGAAGCTTGTATTTTTGGGGAAATTGGACTTCTCCATTAACTTCTACACATTTTCAAATGTAGGAAATAAATTTAAAATTTCAAAAAATGATCAAAATTAAGCCGGTAAAAATCAATTAAAAAAACGTTAAAAAAAACCTGTCCAACGCAGTATTCAATAACAATATTTGATTTTCATGTAAAATGGTTCCTACAATCATTTTAAACATGTCTCAAAGTGTAGGAAAAAAATTTAAAATGTCAAAAACTAATGGAAATTAAGCTCTAAAAATTTAAGTGAAAAAATGGGTGTAATTGTATTATTCAGAATGAACCATTCATTTTTATGGAAATTGGATGTTACCATTAAATTTTACACGTATTCAAACCTAGGAAATGATTTTAAAATTTCAAAAAAGCATGAAAAATAAGGTACAAACATGTTTGCAAACAATTAATCAAAAAAATGAGTTGAAAAAAAAAAATAATAATCAAAAGTCATTTTTATGGAAAATGGACTTTACCATTAAATTCTACACCTTTCATAGTGTAGGAATAAATTTTAAAATTTCGAAAAAACTCGAAAAATAAGCCGTAAAAAATTAATTAAAAAACCGCGTCTAAATGCGGAAACCGTGTGTGCTGCGCGCAGCCAAAACCGCGTCAAAACGCGGAAAAACTGCGTTTTTTTATTAAGGCCCAAGATTAAATGTAAATACATATTTATTTATTATTTTAACAACAATGTATAATATTTTCTTGTATTCAATTAAGTATTATTAGGGGGTATCAAATATAGGAAATCCACCGTTGGAAACCAGTCACTTTTCCCAAAACCTTTTTTTACATCAATGTGCCCCAAAAGGGGTTAAATGGATAACCAACATGTTTCAAAAAGGGTGGATTTTTCAAACCAGTCAATTAAGTAATGGTGGATTTGGTTATATTTGATACCCCCTATTATTTGCAGTTACTAGGTACATTTCATGTACTGTGAAAGGTACTCTGTGGCTGACACTTTGCACACAAGGATTCTCTCAAACACATGGTGTTGATTTTTCCAAGACTTTTGCACCTACCGGCCAACTCAACTCCTTACGTGCCCTCATCTTGTTTGCTATATCCAAAGACCTCGACTTCCAGCAACTTGACATCAAGACTGCTTTTCTCAACACCAATCTGGAAGAAGAAGTCTTCCTCTCAATTCCTCAAGGTATACCAGTTGACAAGAAAAAATTCTGTCTTAAACTCAATAAGGCCATTTATGGGCTAAAACAGGCACCCTTGGCCTGGTACAACTGACTTTCATCATGGCTCATCTCGGTAGGATTCAAATAATCCATTGCCAACCTGTGTGTATTTTACCGGCTTGACTCCAACCCCGTCTGGCTTTTCATTCATGTCAATGATATCACTGTATCTGGAAAGGACCTCACGGATTTCAAAACACAAATCAAAAGCAAGTTCTACATGAAAGATCTGGGCAAAGCAGATCTTCTATTGGGCATCAAAGTTTGCCACGACCCTACGGCCATTGATCTCTTGCAACGTCACTACATCCACTCTCTTCTCAAGCTTTATGGGATGGAAAATTGTCAATCTGTTGCGACACCTCTTGTCCCAAACAGTCCACTTGAGAAGGCTACTGCAGAAGACATCAATCGCTTCAACAGCCTGGGTGTCAGCTTCCAAAGTGCAGTTGGAGCCCTCAGCTATCTCAGCTCTGCAACCAGACCGGACATCTCTTACGCTGTCAGCAACCTATCACAATTTTTGAAAGCTCTTGGCATTCATCACTGGGGAGCCTTCATCCATGTGCTAAAGTATCTGTCACGAACTCAAGAACACATCCTTGTCTATCCAAGGTGATCAAAATCTCCCTTCACTGGTTACACGGATGCTGATTGGGGCAACTGTCTGGTCACCCGTTGCTCGGTGACTGGCTACCTTTCTCAATTCAATGGACACCTCATTGGCTGGCAGACTAAAAAGCAACCAGTTGTGTTGTTGTCCTCTTGTGAAGCCAAGTATTGGGCCCTTACCAACTTCTCCTGCAAACTGCTCTGGATCAGGAAGTTCATCCATGAAGTTGGAATGATGGATGTCAACACCAAAATGGTCATATATGAAGACAACCAAGGTTGCATAGTGACTGCAAATTTTGATGCAAATACAAATTCAAAAGGTATGAAACATGTAGAGATACAGCTTCATTTTATACAGGAAGTCATCAAAGATGTAAAAATTGTCTTGAAGTACACTCCAACAAATCAAATGCTGGCTAATTTTCTTACAAAGGCTGTCCCTTGTCCCGCTCTTATCAAATCTCTCAAATCTTTGGGCTTATTTTGCCTAGAGGGAAGGGGGGAACACTATTGCGCTCACCTCACGACCCCTCTAACCTCATAACCCTCTGACAGCACGCTCGACCACATGACATCATATGATGTCACCTGGCTTGAGCCCCTTCAAAACACACAGTCAATCTTCTCACTTTCATTTGGATCCTCAAGCATATAAGACAAGCACACTTTCCTCCCTCCTTATCTTTTCTGGTCGGGGAAATTTCTTGGTTGCCATCTACAACCTTATCTTTTCTACATCATAGCATCATCCTTGTTCCTCCGCCTGACACCACTCTTCATCATATCTTATTGAGAAATCTCCTTGATCTTGTGTCTTCTTATCCCTTCCAAACTCAACACTTCATTTCTTTATTACGCTCAGTACATTCCCTTCCATCTTGACTACTTGCCAACCCTTGACCTGTACTTCCCTTCCTTCTCAACTACTTGCCGAATCCGTCAAACCACACTAGGTTGATAACATTATCGTAGGTTCTCAGGCTCAATCTTTCTCTCTTTGTTCTCAACTGATCAAGAAATTAACAATAGTGCTCCCTTCATTGTATCTCAGTAGGACCCAGGAAACCCCTTATAAATGTCAGTAACCAAAATGTATGAATTTTTTGGGAAAAACCCAAAATGATACTCACCAAAAATGTATGAATGGGAATCTTTGGGCAAAATGTTACTCACCTGAAATGTATGTAATTTTTGGGGAACAATGTAGGTTAGTAACCAAAGATGTATGATTTGTTATCATTATCAT